AAGTAATATAAATAACACCTCTAATCAATAAATCATAAATAAATATCAGATTACCTTCAAGATAACCCATACTAATTGGTAAAGCATGTCGCGTCAGAACTATCCAAGATTAATCTGCGTCAGAATCTAGAAGACTTGACCTGAATATAGTTGACGTTCGTACAAAAGCGAATAAATTGCTTAACCTACGATAGCAAAAGAGTTATTCAATGTATTTTTAAATAATATAAATAATTTTTAAGAATATATTTATCATAATAATGTAATAAACACACTCCTTTCAGCTACGGTAAGGAACCTTATTTGGGAGTATTATTCAATAAGGCTTTAACTAACATTTAGTAGGTGCTATAACCCGAGGTGCAGATCACAAGAAAACACCTAGATACTTAACAATCCCTTTTTATTTTCAAGTATAATCAAGTTCCGTTTAAACATCATACCATACTTAAAAACAAATAAAGTAATAATACCCTTCGTAAAAAAACCTGTCACTTTAAAAAACATAATCGTCAAATCATTTCCTTTAAGTCGATATAAGTTACATAATCGTAATTGAATACATTTAAGTTTTATAATAAATATTAACGTTATTTATGAATTAATATGTCGGTAACAATACCATCCAAGTTAATTTAAAAATATGTAAGGATTATATTTGATTGATAAAAAGAAAAAGCTGATGTATATTTTGTAATGATAATCGTGTCCCCTGCTGGCTGCTAACACTGCTACACCAGTAAAGAAAAGCAGTGCTTTCATTAATTCATTTTTTTCAATAATTGTTATTTGAAGTATCCGGAATAATTAATTTTAAATGGAGTTTAATTATTTATATGGAATCAATTAAACTTATTTGTATGGGATGAAAAAATAATTTATATCTGTCTTTAATATGTGATTTTTTTATTTTAAATTTATTTGTTATGAAATTATATATTGGAAATACATTCCATTCCTGTATTATTTGTTATGTGTACAATTATTTCATATTTGTGAATTACTAGCAGTAAGTTGAGTACCTAATAGAAATTATATTTTACAATGTGTGTTTTGTTGAAAACTGAATTCATTGAAATCTTCATGGGAACCTAGAATTATATTAACAGGGCTAGAAATTACAACACAACCTTCCGCTTTAAGTTGACAGGGAATGGAAAGCGTCGTAACTTATGCAAGGCAATGTATGAACGAGGTAATTATTTCATTAATGGGATGCGGCACTCGAAAATTATCTTTATGTCATGGCAATTCTCATTCATGAATAAACAAAACATACATGCATATATTCAGTTTCAACATCACCCTTAAATTGGAATGAATAAAATACTTTATAAATTAATTGTACAGTTAAATTCAATAAAGCTCTTAATGGAGTGTGCTGGAATCGAGTTTAAATTAGATTGTCCCCAGTTTCAAGTAGTTATTTGATTTACTGCCAAAATTATAGGTTGATCAGATTTGGTTTAAACAATTGACAAGAGTTTTTTACTCTGGAGCGGTTAAGAAATTATATTTATCTATTTAATTCGGGAGCCTGTCGATGCTGTTTTATGTATATATATGTATTTCAGCTTATCACATTAAGCTAAGAAATAGAAAAAACAATAAATTAATTATTTTTGAAATAATGATTATGTCAATCTACTATTTCGAATTATACATTCTTTCGTAACATTGTGATGTAACTATTTAAACAACTTATGTATTAGAAAACATTTTATATTTCTTCATATTAAAATAATTAACTAGATAGCGATATTAACTTTAAATAATATTTTGTAGTCCACGAAAATATAAAACTTAATACACACGTTGTGTACAATTTAACATCTAGTTATCACAAATTAGGATTACCTATGTATTCTAATTAACTATCCGGCACCTCCGAAGACTAACACATGAGTAATAACTAGATGTACATATTATTGTATTCAAGACTGTTATGAACCATCTAATATCATAACTGTGGAATGATTGTAAGGATATGTATGTATTTGAATATAAATATAAATAATCTGTTCTAAATGAAATTGTATCCTGATATACTCTTTATTTCTATGTTATTGATAACAAACAATATTCCATGGAGACAACATAGTCAAGCTCTATGCACAGGGAGGGGCTTTTTAAAAATATATTTTATTTAAATACAGTGGCTCCTTCCTTAGAGAACCTATCGTTTAGACCTCGCACAGACTGAACTTAATATAAATTGTCTTTATATTAATGGCACCCGGGAAGTTTTTCTTCTTGTTACAGCAACGCTTAATTGTTCGTATTATGGAAAGACGCCACGGAGAATAGTATTTTTTGTTTTCTTGGAATATTGGTCTGGAAAGAACTCTAGGTGCCGAGTCAGCGGTATTAGGTGATGACTGCCTCATTACGACCGATGTAACTATATTTTAATAACGTTTTATTTAAAAATAGTAATCTAAACGGAAATCGTGATTAAACACATTCAATACTTAAATCATACGTGGTTTAATTAGATGTTTGTAATTGTTACTTAATTTTTTTTAATGAATCTTATATGACTTATATAGAAATATTTGTGTCTTGCATTAACAAAATCCATCGTGTAATTGAAATCGATGTTGTATGCGCATGGATCCATTAAATGATTGGTGCCATGATTTTAGGTAATTTTTAAATGTTAGTTTTTGTTTAATCGTCGAATATATTGAATAATATGTTTCAATATAATAAACATATATACGAATTTTGTAATTTAAATTTCATTTCTACGCTGAACGGACAACACACTTGTATAATGAAATTGAACAAAATACTTCACCGATAACTTATTAATCTTCTATATATATAAAAATGGATTGCTGTTCCTTAGTCTCGCTAAAGCTCAAGAACGGCTGAACCGATTTGGCTAATTTTAGTCTTGAAATACTCCTGGAAGTCCAGGGAAGGTTTAAAAGGTGAGAAAAATTTGAATAATTGCCGGGAAAACCCTAAAAACAGCCCTTTTCTATTTCCCATACAAACGTTTTTTTTGACGTTAGATTTGACAACTAACTAATATGTCAATCATTCTGTTTGATTGAAACAGGAAAAACCTGATTATTTATGGCCTCTAAGACGGAATAGAGTTCGCCTGGTCAGCTATACCTACATATATTACTCTTGACCAAACTAACGCGGACGAAGTCGCGGGGAAAAACTAGTAAAAATATAAAAATTTACATCAAGTTTAACGCATTTTTCAATTTTATGTGAAAATATGGCATGATTGGTTAATTTTTTTATATTTGTAATTATGACAATAAACAGGCGAATTAACTTTGATTTAATTTTTACACATACATATGTATAAACTCAATCCAATCTAATATCCATAAAATGTATAGTTTGTTAAGTGATTCAGTATACAGTAATGTTTATAATGTTACAAAATAAAAAATGAATATAAAATAAATCTTTAAATATTAATATACCAAAAATTACCTATATAAAAACAAATATATTGTCAAATCATCAAACGAAAAATGGTTAATCTAAAATAATAATTTCGTAACCCGTCGTAATGAAAATAATATAAAAAATATATTAAATTTAACATACATTTTAGAAAAGTCATAGCATTAAGTTTTAATCAAATACGTCTAATATACCTACTTAGAAAAAACAGAAACTTTTCAGTTAAAATGGGAACTAGAAAAGTAATCCTACTTTTACTGGTATTCACCTGCTTTGTATAAATGAACAAAGTAAACTGTGAGGCTAGGTCACTTGTATACAGGGCTATTTAACTTAAAGCGATCGCTTGCAATGCTGTTTCAATCGACTATATAAATAAATAGCTCTCAATTGTACTTAATAAATATTAACACTATTTTTTATATTCTTTTTAAAGTTATTATTGACATCTTCTACTGGATTAACATGTGTAAAATGAAATTTAAAAACTAGGGAAATATTTTGTTTCGTTTGAAATTACTGAAATTTGTATTTATATTTACAAAATATTTTTGTCCTGCTACTTTTTAAATCTCAAGATTGGAAAGTTGCCTTTATCCTTGCTGCATATTGCTATTATAGGCCAGGGCAGAAGCCTTTAAAATTAATGAAAAGTGAAAATAAATTATAGTATGTAGAATGAAACTCATTAGAAAAGGAGGGAAATATTATAAAAATTAAAGACTTTTAGTTTTGCTGTAACTTGAGAAAAACCCATTTTTTACCCTTAAATAACCTCCATATCCTTCCCGACCTCAGAGCGCCCGTAAATTGTTTTTCCTTTAATTTTTATAATATTCCCCTCCTTTTCTAATGGGTTTTATTCTACTATTATTTAGTTATGTTTTAAAAGCTATTGGCACATGTCTATTATAATTAACAGACAATTACAACCGATGACATATTATGGCATAGTTTACTACTAAGTACTTACAATTTCATCCCTTTTAAGTAATTTGACATTAGAAAGAAAGAAAGGAAGAAAGAAAATTAATAAAAAATATTACGTAGATACCTAATAATATTTATATAACATGAAAATAAAAATAAACGTCTTATAATGTATGAGAGTTCTCAATCAAGGTGTCTTCTGATTTATTGACGGGCAGACGAGATGTGTGTGTCTGAATAATTTATAAGGTAAAAATAGTAAAACTTAACGGAATCAATAAAAAGTTCTAAAAACTTTAAGTGTGTAAACTGTTTGTGAGTGAGAATAAAAGTACAAGAATAAAAGTTAAATAAATAAAGTTAAATATAGTGATTTTTTTGTGCTTCGTTAATCAGCGGATCGGATCAGCTGACGCGTATGTATCCACAAACTAATAAAAACAACAAATATTTTTTAGTTTTTATTCAGCTTACATTACAATTGTCTTCTTTGTTGAAATACATAAACTTTATTAGTGACTATTACTTAAACATTATTATAAAAATATTTAATAATTAATAAATATTACACAAAAATATTTGTTTGGTGACATCTATCGGAGACGTAACTTATTAGTTATTACGTTATATGCATAATGGCCAACAAGTGCGATCAATGCGGCAAGTTCCTGTCGCCTACAGATGGCGCAAAATGCAATAAGTGCAATGCAGTATTCCATCGGTCGTGCGTCAACATCAGCCCTGACTCCCGCCTCCCCGCACGCTGGACATGCCGAGGTTGCCGCGGACAGGAATATAAGAATAAGTCCCCGGTAAATACTGAATCAACCTCTGTGGATATATTTATAGACGCTAACTCTACAGAAAATGAGAAGACATCGGAATTATCCTAAGCTAAGGAGATGAAGCTTCTCAGGATGGAGCTTATATCTGTCACACGGGAGATGACTTCATTCAGGTTAGAATTAGCAAGAATTAACGAAAATATGGTTGAATTCCATAAAATGGTTGATAATATTGAAGAGCGCGTGACCTCTGTAGAAGAAAAATTCTCCAGTTCTGGTGTAAGCAAAGATGAAAATTTACATGATATCATCATACAGTTAAAAGCAAACATCAATGACAGAGAACAAAATTCATTATTAAATGATGTTCAAATAACGGGAGTGGCAGAACGGAGTGGAGAGAATGTTATACATCTGACACAAGCAATGGCTAATAAGTTGGGTATGGCCCTCGACTCTCGCGATATAGTAAGCGCCGAGCGCGTCGGCCCGCGTCGCCTGTTGACATCGAGTGAAGAACATAGTCGCCCGCGGCCGGTGATCGTGCGATTAGCGCGACGGTCTCTTCGAGACGACATCATAAAGGCGGCGCGCGTGCGACGCGGGACCGATACTACAGGTGTCACTGACGGCAATCCCACGCGAGTCTACATTAATGAACATCTGACTCGTGTTAATCGCCTATTGTTCTATAAGGCTAGGGAGGAGGGAAAACGTCACGGCTGGCGCTTTGTATGGACGCGGGAGGGGAGAATCCACATGCGACGGGAGACGGATACGGCAGTGCAGCTAATTCGTACAGAAAATTATTATTTAATTAAAATTTTTGGTTCAAAATAATTTTGAATTTCAATGGTAATAAAAGATTTGTGAATTTTTGTTATATTTCTTATGTTGTAAAATTTCGAATTTTGCTGAAAATGGCATATAATCTTTGTAAAATTAAATTACAGACTTTTGTTATAATTTTCTGTACATCTTGTAACATTTCTAATGATGTATTTACGTTAGGTTCATATAATAGTAAAAATTATTATCACTCAATAATTTATGTTATAATAAGTAATGACGTGTCCCCGGTCTTCAAACCTAATTTTTCATTAATGGGCGAACCTAATATACAACCAATATATTTGTATACATCTCACATATATGTGTATTTACAAAACTATATTTGTCTTCATCATTCTTATGGTTATTTTATAGTACCGGTATTATACACATTTCATTTATTTTTTAATTTATTGTTATTATTATTTGCGTGTCATAAAGGATAAAAATGAGTAGTATTAAAAATCTTAAATGAGGCTTTTTCAACCCGGGTTCGCTTGGTTCACATCACGATGAGTTCATTGTTCTTATGGAGCGTCATGACGCAGATGTGATAGCCATCAATGAGACGTGAGACGCTCAGGGGAGGATGGCAGAGCTCTTGTTGTGGCTGGTTACCGACTGCGTCACATACCTAGACCGGTAGAAAGTCGACCACGTGGTGGCGGTGTCGGTTTTTATATCAAACGCGGTATTTCTGCGCGTACACTGATGCACCCGATATCGCCTCCTGTGGAGCAAATGTGGATAGCTATCAAAATAAATGGCAAAACCATAATTATTGGCACAGCCTACCGCCCCTCTTGGGGAAATGCAACAACTTTTTTTGACGCATTGAACGAAACAATAGGTAGCTTACCCTATCATGATCATCTGTATATGTTAGGAGATTGTAATATTAATTGTATCGATACGATATTGTAATTGTAACGATATACGATAGATATTCTTAGACAGGTATTGGGCCAGTTCTTGTCGACTCATGACTTAAGACAATATGTCACTGAATCCAAGCATTTAACTCCTAATAGTGAAAGTTTAATTGATCTTATTTGTTCGAATACTTTAGTTAATCAGATTAGAATAGATTATGTCGCTGAGTTCAGAGGCCACGCGTTTATATCTTGCGAAGTTAGGTTAAAAAATATTCAATATTTCACCGAAGACTATTGTGAATAGACCATTAAAGGACAGCAATCCAGAGCATCTTAATGAGACACTTAATTTAATGAATTCGGAAAGTGTCACTGATATCGAGGAAATAAACGACATGGTGGCTGTAATATAATATAATTGTTTGTATAATTTTGTCATTTTCAACTTATAAAAATTATATTTTACCAATATAAAATTAATGATATTAATAGGTTATGTAGTTCTTGAATGTCCAAACTATTTTTTAAGCCGGTTATTTTCCAGTCATTATAGTAAATTCACCTCGGAATTCGAGATACCCAGCTGTAAGTCTGTAAATAGTTGTATATTGACACCCTAAAAGTTGTCTCAAAACCTACATATGGTAGGGTGTAAGCAACTATTAAATTTCAAGGTCAAAGGTCACAAAAATCGGTTTTTTGCGCTTTTTTTGGAAATATGTGATTTCCCATGGGTTTTTTGCTATTTGTATTTATTATCAATATTGTAGAATACTAAATTCTCTACAAATTTTGTTTCAAAAAATTTTTTATACGGTGAACCGTTTTCGAGATCTACAATAAAACGGCGGAAACTTATTAATATTTTTTTTCGTTCGGTCTCGACATAATAAAAAAGCTGTGGTTTTAGAACTTACAAATTTTACTAATAGTGTATAATACATTTTCTATTACTTTTGTTAATATCTCTTGAAGCTCGGACAAAAATTCGGGTATAAAAGCAAAATTAGTTTATTCAATAATGAATTATTGATTTCACGTTAAGGTGTGTAAAAAATTAAGTGGCTTTTTCGTAACAAAAATTATTTGTATCTACTTTGACAAAATAGTAAATAAAATATATTTGAAACTGTTAGAATCCTTTTACCTCTGATATCGTTGGAATCATTAGAAAATATAATTATGTGGACCGACATACATGGCCTTACATAAGAATACATATGTTATACCTGTTATGTTATGTTATGTTATGTTATACCTGTGGCAATAATTATTTTGTACTGTTTAATGGCTAATCTCATTATCAACCAAACACTTTATGCGTCGTATTTGAAATGTAACTCAAGTGTAACAACAATATATATGTGCATAAATATATATATAAAATAAAAAAAAGGTATTTTTTTAATAATTATTGAATAAATATTATAAACCTAACAGATCTTTATGTTTTATCCACTAGTATTATTCCTAATTCATAATTGAGATATTAATTAGTAAGTTGATATCTTACGACAAATGAGTTCTTTTGAACGAAGTAGATTGAATTATCGTTCCAAAAAAATTCTCTAAACTTTTATTTTTATATACAGGTATACAATATTGAAGATGTTTTCTTGATATATTAATATTACTTTCTAAGTTTCCTATTTAATCTTTAAATAAGCAAATAAACATTGAATTTTTTAACAAATAAAAAAAATATTATGTTTTTTTTAAGGTTAAGGGTATTGATATGTTGAGAATTCTTTTTCTTTCATCAAACTCATCCGTAAGAAGTCCCATAAATTTCTTCATCAAATTTTTGACATGCTTTTTGTGATAGAATTACTATAAATTTTTTAAAATTAACGTTTACAAGTGTGCATGGAATGTGGTAGACAAATGTCTCAAATAGAAAGTTGTTTTATTACCTATAACTATTTCATCGAGCGATTAATATCTTCAGTTTAAAAAGAACATATGTATGTATAACTGTATGCCAGGAAACAACAAAAAACTACCCAAACTGTATACACATTACTAAAAAGTATTAGTGATTATTTAGCTATTTAAATATTCATCTTTATGACAGAGATTTGGTAGACTTAATACTTTGTGTAGATTTCAATATATATTTTTTATGTTTTATATAATCAATCAAAAGTGGTTTATCTAGCCGCATGATAGCAACATTATAAGAAACTTATGTATCATCTCTCAAATTTTGTAAAAAACAGTTTAACCACAATTTCCATGACTAACCGTTTAACTTAATTGGGTTTAGTAATTTTTAGCTATCATTGAGTCTTCTTAAATTAAAATAACAACTTTGGATGGGGAATGCATAGTATTTTAGAGACTTCCAAAAGTAATCTACTTTTTTACATTGAAAGGCTATATTATTACAAATGTTCTATAGTATATTAAACTTAAATAATAATTTAGTGTTTACAATATTATTTAAACAATTAAAAAAAATACAAAAATTTTAAACTAATACCAGGCACCAGGTCTATAAAATCAAACTTCAAGCCTTACTCTATCCTTAAAGCGGCTTCGGATTGGACTATCATGATGGATACGTATGAGAAACAATACAAAATCCCCGAGGAGGACAGACCAGACATATTTCTATATTCGCGTATTTTAAAGCGCGTTGTGATGATAACCAACCAACATCCCAACATCCCCAAAGACCATGCCATCAAGGTCAATAAGTATTACGAGTATCACTAACGAACTAACTCGAAATAGGTTCGTCGTTGATTTGTACGCGGTAAAGGTGGGAGCGAGAGGTATAACAGCTTAATCTTTCTATAACCTACTAAAAGACTTGGGACTGTCCAGAACTAACATTAATCCATTCTTGGAACGTACTTCGAAGGCAGCCCTAGTAGGTTCTTTTCAAATTTGGTTAAGTAGAGAGAGGAGCTTCGACAGTGGAGGTGAGCGTTTAACGCGTGTTAGATAACGAGCCCCTTAAACCTACACTTGGGTCGCAAGTCCCAGGCACTGTTGAAGCTCCTCTCCCTGCAACGCGATGGACCCGGCACCCGCACGGTGAATCCATTGAATGCTAAGAGGTTTCGTTTTATTATATATTTTTTGTTGAATTTGTGACGTTACGTAACGTTACGTAACGTTTTAATAACTTAACGTTTTAGTAATGAATAGAAATTAAAAAAAGACAAAATAAAAGACAAGCATAAATTATATATCTAAAGCTATTTTAAGTGTTAGGTCTCGACTTATTGAACTCTATATAAGCTAAGCTTATACATGTACAGGTTTCATTATAACTATTTTTGTCACTAAAAGCTTCGACATCATATTATTATAGTCTTTGTGGATTTTTTTAGATTAAACAAACCAAAAACTTATGTGTATTTTTATATTTCTTACTTAACTAATCTTACTTTAATCACTTATTGCAATAGGCTTAATAATATTTCAACCATGGCCGTGGATCGTTTAGTTTAGTTTTACTTAATATGTATTTCAAGATGGATGAGTGAAATTTATATGTAGGTCATACTTCGCTATGAAGATTATAATGGGATTCACTATTGTTTTTATTCAGAAAGCCTACACGTTGTGGTTGAAGGTTCAATGACGCAGAGAAAAAATAACGATAGGGAGTGAAATGGATTTCTTAATAAGGTCATCCGTCTTAGTTGACAGTCCATATAAATTTTATCCTTAATTAAAAATCAATATTACGTGTATACTTTTCGATTAATATAATAATATTATCAAGATCTTCATAATAATATGCTATCATAATAACAATGTGCTATCGTCTGCGGAAATACAGACAAACAAACGTGCAAAAATGTATAAAAAACAGAAATAAACTTCGTAAATTAGTCTGGATATTCAAAACATAAAACAAAATGGCGTGGTTCGTTTCCAACAGAGATTCTGATACGATAAACAAGTAAAGTTTGACATACCCATTTCAGTTGCGCAACCTGATACGAACGGGGTTGTATAAAAATAAAAAACAACACCGTGGATCATTGTACAGATATTATTACGTAGATCAGAGATTTTGTTATAATACAAAGGGGTTTATTTAACAAGAAAACAAAGTTGAAACAACGAAAATAATGAAAGTTTGTAAAGCCCTTACAATTTTGGTTGAATAGAATATGTTCTAAAATAAATTTGATCTTTGTAAAAGTTCGTGTAGCTGGTTTTTGTTACTTTTTATCTTTTATGTATATTTAAAAAAAAAAAAACATTTTTCAACGACCTGTTACAATGCACACCAGTTATTTTTATAAACAAAATATAAATAGACAATTATATATTATAATGGAAGAAACAAATTTAAGGGTATAATATTTTGTTCAACAGCAAAATGAAATATTATATACAAAGGAAAAGATTTGAGTGTAATATAGTTACATAATGATAATTAATAGAAATAAGAATATTTATAGCTGCCGTTTGAGTAAATTTTGTGTCATTCTACTTTTGTGATTTTTTATTGGAAATCTTTACTGTCAATGATTCTTCTACAATTTCTTAACAATAAGGTCTTATTTTTAACTTACGATGACAATTTTAACGTCAAAACGAAAATAAGCCTTGAAAAATTTTGTATATATATTTATTATTGAATATAAAATTATTTATTTTAATATTAACATAAAAAAATTGAAACACCCTTAAATTACAAACAAAACAATATTTCTTCAAGTCACACGAGGAAAGTTAAAAATATTAGAAAATTTAACACAGCCATTGAAATTTAAAACACTATTTCTTATTTCAGAAAGTTGTAAGTTTAATTTCCTTCTATTGATTGTTCCAGATTGATAAATTTCTACTGCCCACAGATAATTGCTTATATATAGTGCTGTTTGTGTAAGCGACCTCAATTTATTGTTCCTAGTACAGAAATAAATAGACACGAAGTTTAATATATAACCATCCCTACCTTTACATTAAAACCGGTTTTTAACTTTAATTTGAGTTGGGTTTTGCTATAAACGTTCCTCTTTTATTTTCGCTGTTAAAAGGCTACAAATTATTATAAGAGCCTACCTCCCGAATGATTCGTAAGGTGATTTATACTTTTCATATAATGTATTTTTTTTTCCGAAATAAAAATAAATTCCTAATTTTCTTATAGATATTATATATTTAATGTAACCTTCAATATAATTTCGTGCATAAAATTTTGTTACAACATAAGTTTATATTTAAAATCATACTTGTTCACTATATGTTAGAAAAAATGCCGTAATATATCAGTATAATTTGACTTTCAGTAATCTAACAATAATATGCTAATAATATAATAATTCATCATAAAAATTTGTGAAGCTTTGACGCATTTGATATATTTTTTATCGTTTCAGTTAAGATATAAGAAAAAAATAAAGAATAGGTACATATGAAGACAGAATTCTGTTTACTGTTTAATATTCATTGTCTCGAATACGTTCCAAATAATCAGATCATTAAAAATTGTAAAGGTTGCACTGAAAAGAAATTGCTAAATAAACTTAGAAGTGGAGAAATTAAAGCCCTGGCATATTAGAAGACATAAATGTTCAATAATAGTTGAAGATTTATAAAGGAAATTGAAACCAAACGTTGACCTAAATACGAAGTAAGGATTATTTATACAAATTACTTAACTTTTGTTAGCTATCTGTCAAGTAAAGGTTGATAGTACTTGACTAAAAGCTTTTGCAATGCCAAAATATTCAACAATTCTAGTATGATAGAAGTTATAGCATAGAAAAGAGGTTGGTAATTCACCCGCATTGAAATAACTAGAAAAATTATATTGCAAACACTTTTTATAAATCAAACCTCAAAGTTTGGCAACCACATTAACAAAACCTCTTTAAAAAGGTTATTTTTATGTTAATAAATATAATAAAATACATATTAATGTTTGAGAATTAGATTGACAGGGATTGGTTTCTCATTTATGTCTACTTTAATTTATACTTTATATCAAAAGTAGTCATTTCAAATTATGAACAACATTCATTATAACGTCGGATGTTACTACCTTATCAAATGACTAATGTTTGAAACAGTTTAACATTAAAAAATGGTCAGAATTATTACATAAAATACTTCTTACTTACTAAGTTAAAACATATAGTGAAAAATCAACACGAAAATGTTATTAAAACGTTGGATATTATCAACTTATCAAATGAAACTAGTTTGGAACGTAGCCTATAAAATTTGTAGAATATTAACGAGTCACAAAATATTAATTTTCAAATTATTTTCCTTCCGATTCAACAAGCTTTTAAAGTAACTTCAATATAAGGTTGAGAGACAGATATAAAATACAGTTTTAAAATATTTCCTTTTACTAAAAGAACGGCTGTGACAAAGATAACATCAAATTTGTTCCTCTATATCTGAAATAGAAGTATGAAAGGCTTATCTATTACAAAGTAAAGATAGCGTTATAACCAGACTCACATGTACAACAGTTAGCTCATGCATAATTTAAAAGAAACAAATATTTTCAACTATCAAACATATTAGTATCCAAATAAAAATAAATAAATGAGTCCCATTAAATTTTATATCATTATATTATGATAACGAGTACTCGCCTTACTACAACTTTCCGTTATTGTTTAAAGCTTAAAGTAACTGCTTCACTTCTAAATAATTAAATTAATGTGACTCCTTTTCAACCTACTACAACTCTTTCTATGTCACTTGATACTTTTTATCATCTTTATATATATATAATTATATTTAACCAGTAGGTTGTAGTATAAAAAGAACCCGTTTTTATGTTAAATACGCTAAATTGTTCCTCTTTTATTTTATTTTACTTTAGTAATTGACCTATTATTATAGTTACGTGCTCCGTATCGGCACTTTGTGGCATAGATGATTTATTGGTATCGATTGGTCAGTGTTCGTATTTGTAAACAATTAAGGCAGAAAAGCTGTGAAGGTTGGTAAAATCTTTAAACGTCTCATTGAATCCCAAACCAATCAAACATCAAGTAAGTTTTTTAATTGTAATTTACACCCTCTTTAGATATTTTGTTTACAGTGGACTTACTGAGTTACCAGTTTTCAAATGTTAGATTATATCAAAATTATAATATGCCTTTATTCATAAATAAAGATACAATAGTAATATTGCTGTCAAGAATGCCAGGTGACATATATAGCAGTTTTAATAATAAAGAATACATATTTACACTTAAACTTTTACATAATTTATATATTATATTAATAAAATTTATGTAATGTAATTTCACGTATAATTTAGTTGTCTGTTTATTTCTATACCATTCTAATTTGCAATATGCATTTTTATATTACAATTCATGTAGTAACATTATAGGTAGATACTAAAAAAAAGATATCGAAGACTTTTGCGAGTATACATTTATATGAAACTAAAATTTTCAGATAGACTACGCTTTTTTATTATTTTAAAACTACATACAACGTTTTGGTTTCGTTTATAAAAAAGAAAGTCACACGCGGAGGAGATGGAAATGCGAATCCGCACAGCATTCTGTGTTATCAGGAACCGAATAGGCGAGGACCCGCTTTTAATGCCACGAGTGCACCAAAGTATCCGTCGGCGATTGTAACAATATGTAGACAGAGAAGGTCGGCATATTGAGCAATGCAAAATCTAGGTAAGTTTAATATTATTTAAATGTATCATAATACTTTAAACATTTCGAGAACATTAAAATAAAAAATAACACTAAACGAGTGTGGAACAAAATTAATAAGTTCCGAAGGCCCACTCTTTCCTAAAACTGCTTTCTACCGCGTTCTTCTAACATTGTGACGGTATTATTATTTAAAAATTATAATGATTACGAAATATCAAGGTATTTTTAAAATACTATCTACCTGAAGTCTGTGTGGATGTTCTTTGAACGTTTTGGATGTTCTGTTCCCTTTAGAAGAAGGCGATGTTACTGAGTGACTGTTGATCATCAGGATGGTTCGGCAACATTGCTTCCAGACATTCAGCCAAACGTATCCTGGAAAGAGGTTATATTGAATACAGATATGTAAAATAATAAATATAAATTGTTACTTAAAATTATCAAATAGGGTGATGGTTTCGTTTCTTCAATGGAGCCCTCCTTATTATTATCAATAACTTTGTTAAAAATAAATTACATTTGGTTAACAACTTTATTTTAACAGTATAATTCATTAGGACAAAAAATTTGATAATATTTTAAGTTACTGCCTTACATCTCAAAAAATGTATATTATACCGATGTCATAAACAAAAACACAAGAGATATAGAGAGTATAAAATGAAATAAGTTTCTGAAAAATAATTTTCTTTTTAGCATATAGATATATTAGCTTAAACTGAGGCTTTGGTAACTTAGTAAAAAAATTATTAATAACCTCAAATGCGGGTTGTATATTCGTGTTGAATCACCCATGTATGTTAATACAAGCGTGAGGGCAGGTTGTAATAACCCGGCCATGTCCGCTTCGTCGGTGATAGTGCCCACAGTACGACGGGACTTTGTTATCAATACAACAACATTCTCCAATACAAACTCTGGAATGCATCTGGAATTTTATTAGAAATCTACAGATATTAAAATTCAACAGATTATAAACCAAGTAAAAATTGATATTGTAACAAGTTAAAAAGATGAGAATAAATTGTTTGTTATATACAAAAGAAGAAAATGATATATACATATTTATGTGTATAAATAGTTTAAATTACATATTTTCAAATAGAAGTATGAAAGGATATATTTTATTTTTTGGTAATAAACTGTTATTATTACAGTTAAACATCGAACATTCGTTGTTTATAGTATGTATAATTTGGTTTGGTTATTATAATTTTAATTATATTATAGACGAATTTCTTTAAATACCTCAATGTATCTGGCGGTGGGGTGGTGAGTGGCATGTCTATTTGCATCATAGTGTTTGGTTCGTAATTACCGACAATGGTAGCACGTGCCACTACCTGCACCAGCCACGTACAGGTGGTGGCCTGCAGACGGTGGAGGTTGGCTAACATCTTCTTCTCCAGGAGACCCCAGCGGAATGTTACAAATCTGAAACGTTAGGTTTTAAAACATAAATATTACATGAATATGCAATAACCAAACAAAGATTTTGCTACATATTGAAGAAGAAATACATACTTATGGAACAGAATAATTAACATTGATACTTTATGGTCAGCTATTTGTGGAAACAGAAGTTAATGCAGTATTAAATTGTTTAATTTGCTATTAATAAACTCAAGTACTACTTAGGTAGTTACGAAGGTAACTAGCAGGAAGTAAATTTTTATTTTTTTTATAATTGAAGAAAACATTCACTTGCTAACGTGTAATACCGCTATGATCATTTAAATCCTAGCCTAAACCTTTGTTTAAATAAATGAAACTTTTATACAATTTAATAAAGCAAATTCATGTGAGTAGACCTTCTGTATTGACTAGTATTTGTTTATTTTGTGGCCAGGAGCACGCGACGACGGTGACGTGTCGGCAGAACTCAAAAGCGCTGCCGCCCCACCACCCCGCGTTCATTACACGGCCGCTGCGTGCAAATTTTGTCTAATTCTCTGTATTTTAATTGTAATGTTATTGAAACGTAGCTTAGATTATGTAGACATGAATTTATGTTTCTTTTATTTACTGTTTGCGAATAGGTGGTACCTCAGAGACACGTTCCTTTGTCAGCGATACATTTGAAACGGGTTAAGTGTTATTGCTAAAACTAAACATACATTTAAAATGTTTATTTATACTGATAACAATCCGACTACGTGTCTTTATAATTCAGTATGCCGCCATTATAAAAGTCGCCGCTCGGCATTGTGCGTATTGCAACGTTGCCAGTTTGGTCAATGCTACGACGCTAGATACCTACCTACTATTCCGCGCTACTATTTTGATTCTGCATAGGAGGTTTCGAATTTATTTTGAATTAGTTACATATTTTTTTCATTCAGATTATTTTATGCTTATTTTTCTATGCTGATAGATTTATTCTAATCTTTAAGTGATATATATTAACGAGTTCAAGGGAACGCCCTCTGTTACATAAAATACTGTATAAATAGCTTAATTAATCAACTTAGTAAGGGACGTTAGCTAATTTAGAGAAGCAATTAAAAGTTGAATAACATTTCTTCCTTTTTATGACTGTGAGATAATAAAATTAAAAATTGTATTGAGCAATTAAAAGTTGAATATGGTTATAAAGGTGAAAAAACCACGAAAAATTAGAAGCCAAAAAGCTATGAGAATTCCTTAAAATTATGTTACATAAAATAATTCTAAGTTTGAAATCACCAACCCGTCTTTAACAAGCGTGGTGATTAACGCTCAAACCTTCTCCATGAGTGAAAGAGGCCTTTGCTCAGCAGGGGGCTCCGATAGGCTGAAAAAAAAAAATCCATCTTAGTAGGTGAAGAGGTTATTATTTTCTATATTATGATAACGAAACTCTGATATGTTTCCTCGTTAAAATCCCTACACCTTGGAGTTTATATCACACGTAATGTGATAATTTATACATATAAAGTTACTTTCCAGTCGATGTTCTTATTTTTTTTTTCTAAACCTATTTAATTAATGCTTCACAATAAGAATATAACTACTATATAATTATTTTGTTACAGAAGCCAGCAGGTACATTTTTTTTATTTGAATATAATAATTAAAGAAGTATAGGAAATAAAAAATAAAAAAATAGAAAAACCTGTTTTGTATATTTAAATGAATGTATATATTTAAAAACATCAAGATAATTGACAGTACTGTAAATGGTTCTCTTGATTTGTTTCTTTTTATAGAAATAATTGTAAGTAAGTAAAACTCAGATTAGAAAACTATCGTGTATATATAAACATTAAACAATTCGATTTAAAGAAGTACTGGATATATTGGAAGTGTATATACTTTTAAATAAGGACCTTGCTGAGTAAATATTTTCAGACTTAAAATGTTGCATTCTTCATAGAATTAACACTTAACTTTTAATGATAAAGTTTTGTAGATTGAAGATTACAGCCTTCGTTTAGCAAGAGAATTAATACGATTTCTGTCGTTATGTGTTTTTATAGTACCAAGATTAGAATTTCAATATAATCTAGTAGAAACAGATGTGTTTATTTATATTCAAACCCCAGTTTTTGAGCTCCTAATTTAGTTCCTGATATTAACTTTATGCGATATATCAGAAAGCTCAACTCCATGTTAATAATTAATAAGTAAAATTATAACTTTAAACATGTAATATTAAAGTTGAAATGACATTCTGGTGTTATATTGAAATAGGTTTAGAACTCCAATTTAATGTTAATTACTTTCGGGTATTTTGATAATACAGCTTTATTTGTATTATTTAAATGATATTATGATAATTATATAACACATTATATTAATTGACCTATCCAGTTAAAATTTATAATATTCAGAACATTTATTCAAAGAAACTTCAATAGTACTTACCAAAAATATCTTCTCTCAAAACACAATATACACAATCTTATTACTTTTTTGGTTATTTTTATAGAACCTTCACAGATTGATTTGAGAATTGACTGACTGTTGTAGTAAATATTTCTATACTGTCAGATGACATTCGTTTTTCAACTACCTTCTTATATGTTTAAATAATAATTACAACATTAAGTTCACAGATTAATATCTGCAATAACAAGATATATTACATACTATTCTACAATCATTATAATGTCCCAGAAATATAATAAATTAATATAGTTTATAACCTATGTAGTAAGATTAGTTCAAATTATTGAGAGAGCGATAACCATTAAATATAATTAATAATTTTAATTAAGACGACTAATAATAAATATGAACATATTATACAAATTGAAAAACAAATCTATTCATGTATGTATATATGGAAGTCATAAAAATTTAACCCTCAAAACGGTTCTAGATATTGAAATAATATTCTTTGACGAGATAAAATTGCGACAAATGCTTAAAATAAAATATTTTGTCATTAAATTTAAGATTATAAAAAATTAATATAAGATAAGTCGTATAAAACTATTAGGTAATAATAAAAAATCATGAAAATGTCTGTTTCCTTTATTAATAATAAATACACTTACAATAAAATGAAATATATTTTCATTTATAATATTTAGTTAGTATTATGTGTACAGACGTAGCTCAAAATATGGACCCAATTCATATGTATGTCTGCCAGTTACACTCAATGAGGCATAACGGTAAGTTATTATTTATATTTCATGACATACAAAACTGTCTAAATATATATTATTTAAAAATGATAATATTGCTATATATACGAATAAAAATTCTATTCAAATAAATGCTGCTTACATATCGTTAAAGACTTTTTCTTTACGAGCTACTTGTACATCTAAAATCTCATGTTTATATTCAGGTATAATATCAAATCTAAGCATCCAATGGATTCATTGGATGCTAAGATTTTTTTATTCAAATTTTAGTTTTCAGTTTAAGATGACTTAAGAATTAAAAATATAATTTTATAGAAATTATAAAGTGTCATATAATTATATAGTATCTAACCAAAAATGTAAAAAAGTTTTTTTAAAACAACGAATTTTGTGATAAATCCGATATATAAAATTAGCTGACTCAAGCTGAGTATACCTAGCTAGCTATTAGTCTATCAAAATCACAACGTGTGTCCGTTTGGTGTTTTAAACAAAGAGACAAGAGCTAGTCTATCACTGTAATAGTTTTAGTTTAACACCAGTCTTTGAGAAAACTAAGCCTCCTACCAAAATAATTACTGTAAATATAATATTGCCAAAATGTAATATGCCAAAATAAATATTGCCAAAATGAAATATGCCAAAATAAATATTGCTGTAGCCTTATGATATATGTATGACAGTAACTGTGATAAATCATAGTATGTACGCACAGTTCCCATATTTAACGTTTTTAATACTGTACTCTTTTGAAAGTTATAACTATATAGGACTACAGGAAGCATACATTTTTGATCTTTAAAAATAGTTCAGTCATTTGGTAGTTTTGCCTGGAAAGTTTTCCAGGAGTTTTGAAAATTGGTGATATTATTGATTCGGTATGCTCATTTCCTCCTTACCGACTCATTTCACATAAAAAATATTTATGTACGAAACAAAACTAGACAAAATTTTGAACCATTTATATATTAATATTTTTTTCATAAAATCAATATTTTTTGATATACGCGCTCCGCAAAGTATTATCTTTCAGCACCACCACGTGTTTTCGTATATTTATCTCAAATATTAAACTAATGCCGCCGGTTTTGAAGAAGCAGGATAATTTTCCAGGTAAACCTCTTTTTTTGCACCAAATGACTGGACTAAAAGGACATATACTGTTAAAGTGATAGTTCATAAAATTAACAATAGGATTGTTAACATTAAAAACTATCCTACTATAATAATATGGTTAATGAAACTTTAGATCATATTCAGTTTCACTGCTTGAATTTTTATTTACTATATATCTAAAAATGCCTTTTTAAGTTATTTTCACTGATGGGAAAAACAATACACAATTGATTAATACGTGACCATTTCTCGGACTTAGATGTGTAACGAAAACATTGTTTTTGGAAAAAATCCCTGGTAAAAATAATATCTCCGAAGTATCACAGTGTTGTCAAAAGAACCTTAAGTTCGTAATAAGCTCTCAAGTTTCCAGGAATCGATAAGGTCATATAAATGGAGCGAAATGAAGTAAAAAGGATTCCATTCGTAAATTACGTTAGTATACCTTTTCTACAACATTTTTTTTGACTATGTTGAAGATTATATACCTTTAATGTCAAGATTAAAATAGAATTAAGCTTTGCAATTAATGTTCTAATTTAATTTGTATTTTTTATAATTATGTTGAGTATGTAGCTGAAATAATTACTTAATATATGTTAGTTATATATTATTTTTTCCATGGAAAATACTTATTATAATAATAAAAAATATATAATCGAGATAAGTTAAATTTCCCAATGTTTGTTATAATAATTTATTAGTCATAATACATTAGTGACCTAAAGTGTATGTGAGTTA